AAGTGAATTCCTAACCTGAGTGGCCTTAATGCTTTTGTGCCATGTGCTTTAGACTTTGCACCTTGATCGTTAAAATAGAGCCCAAGGGCTTTGTTGTGTTTTTATCCTCGATAGTTTAATAAAAAAAAAACCATAGGATACTTGTATTTTGTACAGTTTATCTAAATCTGTCAAATAAAAAACTCTATTCAACACTTGTTACTTAAACGTAGGCAAAAAAAAAAAAAAAAAAGTGGAAATGATGTGAGAAAGTTGCAGGAAAGCCACTCCTTCCTTCCTCTTGAGATCAGAGCTTTAACGCAGGCATAAATATACAGAATATGCTGCTGAATCCACACCACCTACGACCTTGGGTTTGCTGAAAGACATTTAACCGCAGCCCAATTCTGCTGGAAATGTCAGCCGGTGAATACATTACATAAAAAAGCCTTTGTAGAACTCTTGTTTTCGCTAGCTGTGCATCTTTAAGCAGTCTCCGGCTGTCAGGCTTACCTTTAACAACTGCGCCGAGTAAAAAAAGCAGAAGAAAAAAAGAATCTGTGCTCATATCAGAGTGACACTGAAGACATTACACGTGCTGATTTTTATACACACTCGACGCATGCTTGTGTGCAGCTGTGTCAGATTCAGCATGCTACGCGATTGACGGGCCTGACAGAGACACAGGCATATGGGAAGCCAGACGGTGGAAACAAATGCATTGTTATGGATATAAAACACCCAGTTATTATGTAAAAACCATTGCTTATGTTCACTAGAGCCAACACGCATTTCATGACATGTCTTCATCTTCTGAAGCAAATGAAAAAAAAAACAGATTAGCATTTTCCGAAGGAAACATGGAGGCTGGAATGGCTGTGAGGGATATGCAAATGAACTGAATCATATGTGAATTAAATGTCACAGATCTGCAGTGCCATGATAGGTTAAACAGGAAAGGATGACAAGAGTTATTACAATTCAGCACACAAGCTGATGTAATCGCAATGTAAGTATGCACATACATGCGATGTCATGCTGAACATCCCATGTAAATAAATCAGTGGGGGACATTTCCATTTTAAAAATAAATAAATATTCGATATATTAAAAAATAAAGGTGAGGGGAATAGGTTTTAATTTTAATGCAAATACGCAAATATTATGATCGTCAACAATAGGCTAAAAAGGGCTTGAAACTATTTACGGCATAAGCATATGATAACACATTTAAAGTAAAATAAGTAGGTGTCAAAATTAATTGTTTCTTCGGTGCACTGCGATTCAGACGTGGACAATTCGGTATCGGTTCAGTAATAATCATAACCGGTTATTACGTACTGACGTCATTTATCTCATATGTTCTCTGTCGCGAGGGAGGTGAGCGCGAGTATTTACAACACTCAGGGCCGGCCCGTGGCATAGGCACCATAGGCAAACAATTAATTTTGACACCTCTACTCATAGGCTATTACATAAATGTGATCTCGATTTCTAATACTGTGCTCACGACATTTGTCATTGAAATAATGCCACAGGTAGTCGGTAGATCTGTGTAAAAAAAAAAAAAGGCCTGCCGCCACAGCTGGAAAAAAATCCTAGAGGAAACACTGAACTGTGCACAATTTGACAGCGTGTGTGTTTGCTGGACAGTCGTTCACTGACATTTCACCGTGACTGGGAGAATGAAAGTAAACTACATTTCTCTCTCTCACATGGGACAACATGGATTAATTGCATGGAACCATACATTTTTTACAGTGCAGATCTCTAAAAAGCGAAAGTTCTACCAGACTAAAATGATCATCAAAGTTGATTTCTGTACATTTAAAATTAAATATTAGTACTGAAACTAAAATATATAAACATTAAACACAAAAAAGACAATGTTTAACTTAAGGTCTAAGGGTGCTTTCACACATGCTTTGTTTAGTTCGATTGAATCAAACAAGAGTTTGTTAGAGAATGCAGTATCGTACTCGAGTGCGCACCAAAAGCGGACCAAATAAGCGTACGGAGACCTGCTTAAAGAGGTGGTCTCGGTACGCTTTCAAACGAACCCTGGAGCGGTTCGTTTGTGGTGAGAATATGATCCGTACTAAAACAGGTCCAACCGCAAAAAGTACTGCGCGTTTTGGACTAATTCAGCTGCCGTAGGCCGATGCGCTGTGCATTATGGGATATGGAGGAAAAATATTTGTTGACAGCGCTTTACCAACAGAGAGAGAGAGGGGAAAACATTACCAGATGGATCGTTGGTAATATTTCCGCAAGATGACCATGTTGCAGTTTAGCTAAATTAATTCACGCCTCCTCCTGAAGTGACGAGCGATGCATTAAACACTGTTTTCCAGCCGCGGCCGCGCTTCATTTTCGTAATGTGTAGTTTGTCTAAAACAAGGATAAAATCAGCCAGCGCAGTCGTCCCTCCAGAGTAAAAGGTTTTGTTTACCTGCGGGAGTTCACTGGCATTTTCCCGCACGTGAATTCTGAACAATCAATAAGCAGTTTAGGAAATATGTTCAACAACATCTGGCCAATGAGAGATGTGGATTTTGTCAGATGACTGCATTTTGGTTTGTTTCAACTGGTTCGGCCAGCAGTGTGGTGTGAAAACGACCCAAAGACGGCAGAAGATGCAACAATGTATCATTTATTGCCCTTGGTCCGGACCAAATGAAGCGAACTACAGATGTGAAAGCACCCTAAAACAAACCCCTAATCATTAGATCAATACAGTGCTGTAAGTGTATGATATTAATAAAATAACGCAATCTCTTACTTGAGCTGTTTAACTGAATTAAGGGAAGACAGAGCTCTGTTTCAGCAGTCATCATCAAGGTTTCCATTGTGTATGAATGTTGCGTAGATAAAGAGCACAGCGGCAGTGTAATATTTAAGTTGAGGTCTTGAGTTTTTTGCAAAGCTCTATTATACCTTCACATCAGCTTTGAGCATGCAGACCGCTAGCTGAAGCTCCATGATCCAGTTGTTGTTTTGTTTGTCTCAATGGCTCTGTTATTGTGTCTGCAGCGCTCTGGGTAACTACTTCAATTAGTTTGGCCAGGCTTTTAAGCTGCAGAGGGTCTGTGCACATACTGACTTCATTAAAACTCAAGTAAGGGTGTTCACACACACACACACACACACACACACACACACACACACACAACTTGAGCTCCACAATGATTCCAACCAAAAAAGCTGCTCAGAATGACAGACACGAATGATCGATTGATAACTCTTCAGTGTCTTCGATGTTGTGAACAGAAACTCTGGTAGACGAGCTCCGATCACGCTCAAAAACAATAGAGATGCCAAGCGGGCAATGCATAACATTTGTTGATCGTAAACTTATATTCTAATTAAATTATCTGTTGCAATTTCTCCAAGAGAAAACAACCCAGGTAGGTATCACTGCAGCCTGGAGCGCTCCAAGCGGGAGGGAGTTATGCTGTAAGTAGCATGGGTTTAGGGTTTTGGTAGCTGTAAATGTAAATAAAATGTAACAGGTTACTGTGAGGTTGGGTTTAGGGTTTTGGTAGGAGTTGATGGTGTCTAAACTCTGTCCTGGAGGACCGGTGTCCAGCATGTTTTAGTTCCAACCACAATTAAAAACACCTTAGCCAGCTAATCAAGCGCTTTCTAGGTATACTAGATGTCCAGGCAGGTGTATTAGAGGAAGTTGGAGCGAAACTATGCAGGACACCGGCCCTCCAGGACTGAGTTTGGACACCCCTGGAGTAGATGTTAGGAAAACCAAATAGTTTGGAATATTGTTAGTAAAGTTTGGATGTCACTTGACAGATGTTTAATAAATCAATGAAAACTCCAGGCGGTTTGGACAGCCCACTTGGAGCTCAAGTCCCACCCACTTGGAGCTGACCTGTCCATTAGGAGCTGGCCCCAGATTCCCTTTATAACCTGATCAAGCAATCAAAGCAAACTAAAAGAAATAGTGTAGATAGCATAGTTATAAATTATTGCAAATAAGATAAAATTAAATAAATAGCACACCCTAAAAGTGGAAAACAACTATAAATGTGTTTAAAATTAATTATTAATTAGTTAATTAATTATAAATGCTAAAATTATTACGAGTACTATTAGTTTTAATAGTAGTTGACAAATATTTTCAGTAAATTCTAAAAAAAAAAAAACAATATATAATCAAATATATTTTAATTAAATAATAATAGAAAAATAAGAAAAAAATAATAGAAAAAAGAAAAATATTAATAGTATATATATATATATATATATATATATATATAGTAGGGCTGCACTATATTGGAAAAAATTACAGTGCATTTGTTTTATTATTCTGCTATATATTATATATATTGCGATATGAATACAGTTTTAATAAATGAGTAGAATAAATGTTTGTAAAGAATCTATCATTTTAGATTCATTGGAAAGCTTCTGTAGGGGAGTGCATAAAATATATTAAACAATCTACAAGCATTGAGAAATTCAATAAAGAAAAATATGCAAATAAAAAAAAAACAGTGTTTTATTGTTTTCCGAAGAGTTATTCCAAACTGTATTCAGGTATACAGGAATTAAATAATCAAATATAAAATTAATACTGCATTGTCTTTATTTCATAAACAACTCAAATAAATGGTTATTAATAACAGTATATTTTCTTTAAAACCCTCGCACACTCAACAGGGCTCAAAAAACACTTGCAAAATGATCAATTATAACCTAGACTCAACATTGCGTATACTTGCGATGTGACTATTGCGAATGATCACACTGCGATATCGATGCTGAAACCATATATTGTGCAGCCCTATTTTATAGCTATTGATTTTTGTATGCAAGATTTGTAATAAATATTTGGTAGTGAGTCAAGTGAAAATATTGACAAAGAAAGAAACAAATCTCATACATCACACACAAAAAAATACATCATTAATGTTGGGCCAGATCAAATGAGAATGGGAAAAATTAGCCACATGGGAAAAGTCGAAACTGAGAGGACGGACACACATGCATAGCTCATCACTCACCCGTAGAAGAGACTGCGACTCTTCCTTGGCACTCTTCCCCTCAGTAGCGCTCGGGTACTGCTGTCCTCCTTTCTCCACAGCACCTGCTGGCGTCCCGGACAGGTAACCTTTCGCATCAGCGCTGAGGCTGAACATCAGTCCTGTTGAGTCTCTCAGCATGGTCGCCCCCTTCTGCGTCTGCGGCTCTTTCCCTCCTCCGGCCACTGCATTCAGCAGACCTAGCGAGGCTTGAGGAAACGGCGCTGGGCTTCCTCTCAGGATCTCCCCGGCCCGTTCTTTAGGCACCCAAACCAAGCTCTGCACGTGCTGTTCTCCGGCCCGCACGGCTCCTCCAGCCAGCGCCTCAACCCAGCTCTTCTTCTCCTCATCCTGGGCTTCGCTCTTCACCATCTCGGCTCCGGGCAGCGGCTCTGGAGGCACCAGGCTGTAGAGCTTCAGGTCTCCTTTGCTCTCCTCTTTGATGCGCAGGGTGGACGGGGCCGAGCAGCCGTTGGCCGGAGCGCAGGATGGGTCCGCCGGGTCCTGGCAGTGCGCAGAGTTGAAGTGGTCCAGCAGGGCTGTGGTGTCCGTGGCTGTGAAACTGCAATGCCGACATCGACAGCAGCCGTGAACTCTCCTGTGAAGAGGATAAGAGATTTACAATTACTTTGATTTAGAGTAAAGGTCTTTGCACACTGAAGCTTGCGCTTTTTGGGTTCATATACGAAAAATTGGTCACGTGCACAAACCCTGCACACCGAGTCCAATGTAGTGTAAGACTATGTCCTAACAACAGGTGACACATGATGACCAAACGCGACTAGGCGATCTTGCTGTGATTAATTGCTAAATCTTCTATTATGGTAAACATTTGTTTATTCATTTTGAAATATTTGGAAAAAGTAAACATTCAATCATTTTCCTTCGGCTTTGTATCAGGGGTCGCCACATCGGAATTACTTCAATTTAGAGTAAGACATAAGAGTTACAGTGTGTCCTAACAACAAGTGACACATGATGACAGTGAATCGGCTGTCCACACCAAGCGTTACAATTCAGGGCTTCTGGTAGAACAGCAAAGTCCACTAAAGGAGGTCGAGCCTTCTCATATATGGCTCCTAAACTCTGGAATAGCCTTCCTGATAATGTTTGAGGCTCAGACACACTAGCAGTTAGAAAACATAAACATCCAAAGCTAGCACTTTCGTCTAAATGGATCAATGGTTTTATTCACATCACCTCATACTTCAGTTTCTCATCAAATCTTGCCCAATCAAATGCTTTCTTGTGTCTGACATGCACCGCCCCCTTTCAAGACACTTCACATTTGAGCTCAACCAATCTCACTGAGCGAGTGGTTATAAAACAAAAGGATATTGACTGTTTTTATTTTTATATGGAGGAGTTATGCTATGTCACACCCTCTCCCTGTTTTGTTAAGATTATGTCAAACATCGGCGCCAATAGCCTAGTGGTAAAACACACCAACATATAGCACCATGAGGGTCACAGTGACCCGAGTTCCATTCGCATCTCGAGGTCCTTTGTCAACCCTTCCCTGCTCTCTGCTCCTATTACTTTCCTGTCTGTAACCTCAACACTCCTATTTCAATTAAAGCTGGAAAAAACCCTAAAAAAATCATTCAGTTATCTTCGGCTTTGTCCCTGAGGTATCAGGGGTCACCAGCCACAGTGGAATTACTTCGATTCAGAGTAAGACTTAATAGTTACAGTGTGTCCTAACAACAAGTGACACATGATGACAGAGAATTGTCTGTCCACACTAAACGTGACTATTCAGGGCTTCTGGTAGTACCCAAAACAGCAAAGTCCACTAAAGGAGGCCGAGCCTTCTCATATATGGCTCCTACACTCTGGAATAGCCTTCCTGATAATGTTTGAGGCTCAGACACACTAGCAGTTAGAAAACATAAACATCCAAAGCTAGCACTTTCGTCTAAATGGATCAATGGTTTTATTCACATCACCTCATACTTCAGTTTCTCATCAAATCTTGCCCAATCAAATGCTTTCTTGTGTCTGACATGCACCGCCCCCTTTCAAGACACTTCACATTTGAGCTCAACCGATCTCACTGAGCGAGTTATCGCTCTCTGCGAGTTAAAAAACAAAAGGATATTGACTGTTTTTTTTTTTTTTTTTTTTAAATATGGAGGAGTTATGCTATGTCACACCCTCTCCCTGTTTTGTTAGAAGATTATGTCAAACATCAGCACCAATAGCCTAGTGGTAAAACACACCAACATATAGCACCATAGTGATCACGTTGACCCGAGTTTTATTCTCATCTCGAGGTCCTTTGCCGACTCTTCCCTCTCTCTGCTCTTATTACTTTCCTGTCTGAATTGAATAAGCTAAATTGGCCATAATGTATGTGTGTGAATAAAAGTGTGTGGGTGTTTCCCAGTGATGAGTTGCAGCTGAAAATACATCTGCTGCATAAAACATTTGTTGGATAATTTGGTGGTTCATTCTGCTGTGACGACTACTTTATAATATATTGGATTAAATAATAAAGAGAATAAGCTGAAAAGAAAACCAATGAATGACATATAGGGCGACGCAATGGCGCAATAGGTAGTGCTGTCACCTCACAGCAAGAAAGTAGCTGTTTCGAGCCTCAGCTGGGTCAGTTGGCGTTTATGTATGGAGTTTGCATGTTCTCCCTGCGTTCGCCTGGGTCTCTCCGGGTGCTCCGGTTTCCCCCACAGTCCAAAGACATGCGGTACAGGTGAACTGGGTAGGCTAAATTGTCTGTAGTGAATGAGTGTGTGTGGATGTTTCCCAGAGATGTGTTGCAGCTGGAATGGCATCAAAGATATGCTGGATAAGTTGGCAGTTTATTCCGCTGTGGCGACCCCGGATTAATAAAGTGACTAAGCCGAAAAGAAAATGAATGAATGAATGAATGAATGACATACCATCTTCCATGATGAAGTAGACAAATATACAAAAGAGACCGTCTCCATTGTCTACTTGTGATCCAATTAAGCAAACTGCATCCGAACAGCAGGTGTAAACAGAGCCTGAGAGACAGAACCCTTCTCCACAATCTGAACACATGTACTATTTCTCCTTATCTGACGTGTCTCTGCCCCCCTGCGCTACGTCTGAATCTCTGTTATGTGGTGTAATTACAGTTTAGTCAGCTATTTTGGTCTGCATAATGGCTCTTTGTTCTGTTCCAAATAAAGGAAACACAGAGCTGCTCCAAACTCCGCTAAATGAACAGTCTGCTAACCTTTAGGTAAATGAATGTGACTTTTTCCTCCAGAAACAGCAGTGATCCAGTGAGCTTGCACTTCCTGTTTACAAAAAAATAAATAAATAAAAATCGACCACTGTTGAAGTGAAAGTGTACAGGCCAGTGGACTCCACCCCAATAACTATGTTTATCTTATATGCATCAGTAGATGTGCCTGGACAATGGCCATTCATTGACAGAGTCGGCTAAATGTACTGCATTGGAGGATGTTTTATATATTTTTTTTTTGAATGAGAGCTTTTAAAAGCAAATACCTTTAAGTTAAAAAAATTTAAGTTATGTATATATTTTAGAGCTGCACAATTAATCGTAAAAAGATCGCGATCTCGATTCGACCCCCTAGACGATCTTAACCCAGCATTTCTACGATTCTATCAATCATATTTTCAAGTTCAGGAGAAAAGCAATGGTGGCTGCACAAGTCTTCACATTGTTTTTCATACGTTGTTCAGCAATGTGGACACCTCCAAATGGTGTTGAAAGAGTCACATGCTGTATTTATAAGATATAATTCACCCCAAAAATGACATTTCTGTTTTCATGTAATGTATTTGCGACAGCAAAATCACACGTGACGTGAGCTGACCGTCAGCTGTTACCACACAGAGATCGGGCGCGCGCACCTCTGGATGAAGTCTACTTTAGTGAACAGAACCTGCATTGGCTGTGATTCGTGAATAACAGGTATTAATGTTGTAAATAACATTCACTTTGTGGCACAGAGTGATCATTTGGGAGCCGCATGGGAAGTGAACCGAAAGCGCACACAGTAGCCCCTTTCACACATACAGACCTTTCCGGAAAATTACCGGCAATTTTCCGGAAAGTTTGTATGTGTGAACAGGCCCTTTTTATAAATTACCGGTAAATTCGTTCCGGGTATTTTCCGGAAAGAGAAATTGTAAGATTACCGGTAATTTGCCGGAATGTGAATGCAGAAGGAAGAAGCGCGTCCACGTCTAGAACGTGCTGACGTGAGACACCTGCTTTAGCCAATCAGAACAGTCAGACGCATTCACGTGCGCGCGGTTTATGAGATAAAAGCCTTTGAATATTTTTTCCAGACACCTTTAGCTGCTAGATGTTAGTCAGATAATGTTTCTATGTTCCTTCTTAATGCCAACTGTGTAAATAATTATCGATAAAATGTTTATGATAATCCGCTGTTTGTTTACCTTCAAGCTCTGCGTGTGCCCGTGAGCGCCAGCACACACACACATATCATGTACATCTCGACATGCGAAAGTGTTTCTCTATGTTTTCATTGGAGTTGTTCACTATACTGATCCATCCAAAGAGTTTGTAAGATAGTCAAATGTTAACAAACACAAGTGCAGCCGTTTAGTGGTCATTTCTGGTTAATGATGTCAGAATTTACTGGCATTTTGGGATGGATGTGTGAATGCTCTTTTTCGGAAAAATTCCGTAACGTCCTCGCCTGTGTGAACAGCACTTTTTTGAATATACCGGTAAAGTCATTCCGGAAATTTTCCGGATATTTACCGGTATCACTGTGTGAAAGGGGCTAGTGTTGCCAGATGTAGCTGACTGATCCCAGCCCGAAAATTAAAAAATACCCACCCAGTCTTCTGTATTCACGAAAATGATGTCAGTGACCGTTTTTAAGAAAAAAAATGACACTGTAAGCATGTCTCAAACACAATAATTCAACATCAGAATTACCATCAGCATTAATGACCAGGACAAATCTAAAGTCTGTTTGAGTCCACCAATCCAAGTCTATACAATATTGAGCATTTTAACCAACAGTACAGCAACACAAAGCCTATTGCTGTTTAATCACAAGTTTAAGAAATAATAATAATAGCCCACTCATATAAACCTTTATTTTACATCTACAGCATCGTGAAAAAATCATGATCCTTTCGTTTAGGCAAAAAAAAAAATTGTGATTCTCATTTTAGCCAGAATCGCACAGCTCCAATATATTTTTTATATATTATATGCCTGCATTTTTTTCTGTTATTTTACTGACTTTATGCATTTTATTTCTAATACAATACAGTAGGGGAGTAAGTATTGAACACGTCACCATTTTTCTCAGAAAACATATTTCTAAAGGTGCTGTTGACTTGAAATTTTCACCAGATGTTGATAACATCTAATGATATCCATATATGCAAAAAACTAATCTAATTAGTTTACAAATGAAGGTATGCGTAATAAAATGAAATGAAGCAGAGTAAAAGTACTGGACACGGGAAGAAAGGAGGTGTAGAAAAATAGGGAAAGCCCAGACAGCAGCTGAAATCTCTCAGATAACACAAAATGTCAGATAAAACCTAATAAGGTGACCAAATAATGAATTCACTATTTGCTAATGCTTAATA